CAGACAGAGACAGAGAGACAGAAAGTGAGAAATCACCCCCCAGGAGGGATGGCCACGCTACAATCCCTTCTCCTCCATTCTCCTCTCAGGATCTTGGGCATGCACGCACATGCGCCCGGCGTGAGTTTTAAGCCACGGGGTCCAGGATGCAAACCGCGGTTGACTACATGGGAGTCCAGTGACATAGCCATTACGCTAACTGCTGGTCCCTAGAGGACACACTTGTAATCACTGAACCATCCTAGCCCTTAGTAGACACGTCCCAGGTGATCTATGTTCAAATGATCTCACTGACAATCAAACCTCATAGCAGCTACCCTGGCATAATAGTTTCTATCTTGTTTTGCAGTTAGAAAAAGAGAAAAATAAGAGAAACTTTGGTGAGGTCAAAGATTTACCTCCCTTCTGTCTCTGCTTTCTATCTTCTGTTAATTCTCTGCCATCTACTCTCTTATTTTTGTTACTGGCCACATTCTGCTCTCACACCCAAATTCCCTACATTGCAGCTGGCATAATACGTGTGGCTGCTGAGCAGGGGGAAAGCAACCTCTTATTTCTAAAAATATCTTCAAAAATACTGTGCCTGCCTCTGACGGGGCAAGGACTGGGAAAGGAGATGGAATTGAATATTGCAACAAAACAATCAAAATGTTACCATCTGCTACTTTTTTTGTATTTAAATATTGATTCTAAGATTGGATACCTCCCATGGTTATATAAGGGACATAGGTACCTGTCAACCAATCCTCCCTAGGGGCTGACACTATACCGTTGTCCTGTATCAATATAAATCAATTACGAATAACATTTTTCACTAAAAAAAAAACCTCTTCCAGAGGACATGTGCACTCACGAGAGTAAGAGAAAGCAAGAAAGCCCTCCCCATGGGACATGGTCATGTCACCCCTCCAGCTGAGCCTTGAACTCCTCCTTGACTCCTGGAGTGTTTTCTTCACTCTGCCCCTAGTCCTGTCCTCCCACTGAACTCTGAGCTCCAGGATGCGAGGACGGAGTCTGTACAGCTCACTTCCAGATCCTTGCCACACAGCACAGGTTCTAGAGCGAAAGAGGAGCTTTCATGTGTTTATTTGTTTGAATGGATGAATTCAGCTTAAATTTGAGCACACGTGTTTGTCTTGCCAACTCGTAGCCTCAACAATAATTTCAGAAAGTTTGTGATTTACTATGGTCGAGATGGGGCAAGAACGCTAAAGAAATGAACAGAAGAAACTAGAAATGCTAAAGTGGCTTTGGCCCCTGGTGATAGCTCTTTTTAAACATTGCATACGTGTAATTTACATATAATGTACATACACGCGCATAGATCCATGCATATCCAAGGCGATTTCCTTTTTAAAGGATACACGGTGTATTAACTGGCAGAAAGGATATTGGAATCATGGATTGCAATGTTTAACCAAAGCAAAGGAAACAGTATAAAACTGCACAGAAGGAGAAGATGGAAATGTGCAGGAATTGCTACAAGCCCCTCTGCAGAGGGGTCTAGCACAGCACAGAGGCTGGTGGTGATCGGGTACCATTTTCTACTGGTATTGCATTTGTCATGTTAACAATAACCAGGTGTTTTCATTTCATTGATTAGGTTGGACTTTTTAGCCACAACACAGAACGTATTTTTCTCGTGCAAATAACTATGATAGGGTCATCCAGGGTCTTGGTGCGTGAAGCAGCTGGATCCCACATAGCTGGCCACACCAACACGTCCCAGACCCGGCAGCTTGAGAAACATGCCAGAAATGTGTGCATGTGTGTCCAAAATAGAGGAGGAGGAATTGCAGTAGGACCCTTCCCCAAGGGGAGTGCTTTCTCGCTCTCCGTCTCTCTTTCTCTCTCTCTGGCAAGTGTATGTACTCTCTGGCAAATAAATAATAAGGGACCAGAGGTGGCATGGTGGTCATAGCACTCGACTCTCACATGGTTGATGGCAGCTGGAGTCCTAGACCCGATGGCTTAAAAATCATGCTGGGTGTGGATTTTCTTCTGTCAAATTCTGCCCACACACACACATACACACTAAAGATCACGCCACCTCTTGAAACCTCAGTTTCCATATTTCTAAGCAAGGGCTGGGACTAAATGCTGGTTAAATTTCCCAGTCTCTAGAGGCTCATGAGTCTGCAGCTCTATGGTCCAAAGGACAGCCCATCTCAGTAGCTCTGGTCAGTGGCCTGCTTGGGCCACTAAAGAAGCCCAGAATTTGACAGAAGAGAACTTAACCCTGTAACTGTCCTGCAAAATACAGACATGAATATAACTTTTTTTTTTTTTTTTTTTAGTAAGAATTTTGCCATAGGGCATGTGCACTCACTGGAAAGGAGTGAGACAGAGGCAATGAGAAGGAAAGTAAGAAACCACCCCCCAGGGGGAATGGCCATGCCACAATCCCTTCTCCTCTGTCCTCCTCTCAGGATTTTGGGCATGTGTGCACATGTATTCAGCATGATTTTCAAGCTGCCAGGTCCGGGACTCGAACTTGAGTCAGTAATGCCACCATGCCACAGCTGAACCTGAATCTAACTTTGGGAAGACCCTTAGGTTAGAGAATCACTGAAGATTTGGAAGTTGCCCTGTGGTGATCACTGTCTGGGGCCAAATTGGACAGGCTTCTAACATTTAACTTTGTGATTTCTATATGAGTCGGTTCCAGTTCTAAACATTCTCTTTGGGCCCACAGTTCTGGCTACACAAAAGAAAAGCTCTTCTAACACTAACAGATGTCCAATCAGGGGATGGGATGCCTCCAAAGCAGAGTCCCAACAGAGACACCCATGTGCCCCGCCAGGAGCTGGAGTGATGTTCGTAATGAAAAGCAGGGGAGACTAGAGGAGTATTGAAATCCCTTTGAGTTCCAAGACCTTATTTTAGAACCTAAGCGTTGTGAGGACAAGGACAAGATCAAAATGGGCAGCAGAGGAGAATCTGCACGTGTACACTTGCGGTGCTTTACTCGTAGCTAACAAATATTATTTTGACTCCACTCCCCACTGACTTCAAAGTGTTGTCATTGCACCTGGTATAAACTCTCTTTGTTCCAGAGAGTAGCACCGAGGCATGGCCCTGGGTGAGCTGCTCTTACTGTTGGCATTGAAACTCACAATGGAGCAATATTGAATTTCACTTGGTGGCCCTTGAGAGCTTTTCCATTTGTGTCCTCTCATTTACTGTTTTATTGAGGGGAACTCAATGGTCTTTCAGATACCAGTATCATGACCCTCCCCCTACCAAGAGGAAGCTTTGAATAGTGAAACGGGATCAATGGAGCATGTCTTTCAGATCACTGGTGAGGCTAGTTTTGGGGGAGGAATCTTCATGGGAAGCGGAATTTTGGTTTTAACTGGTTGCTTATTTGTGAAATGGAAAACCAATAGTCAAGACTCGAGCTGGGTTCTTTTATAACATTCACAAATTAGGGTTGTCTTGAACATCCTGTTTTGAGAATTGTCTTGCTATTAAAAGTGGCTTTATTTTAAAATGAATTTGGAGCTGCAGTGTCAGTTTCAAAGTGAAGAGCTTTGATCATGATTCACTAAGCTATTTATAGCAGACTCCTCTTATAGCAGCCATTTTATGTGTGCATGAGAGAGAGAGAGAGGGAGAGAGAGAGGAAGAAAAAGCTCATTTCCTAAAACTGAAGATGGCAATCATCAAAAGCCGTCCTTTTAACCCCCACCAGTGGGTTTTGAATTCATTATTCTGACTCTCCTGGCTTTGTGCTTTTGGAATTACCGGGTCCACAATCCCAGCTCTCTTTGTGTAACCCTTACCTGGAACAGGTATAGTCAAAGAGTTGAGTTCTGAGAAATAGAGAAAAGTGCAGGTCAACCAGAAACCTCATATGAGCATGCCAATCAATGGCTCAGTTCAGATAGTGTTTGCTTTCAGCAAATACGAGCTATGATGTAACAGAAAAGTTCTGGGTAGGGGTTCAGAACCAGCTCTGCACTTTGTAGCTGGGTAGCTTTGGTCAAGAGCTTCCTCTCTCTGATGCTTTTTTTTCCTTATCTGTGAAGTAGGGATACTCAGACCTACCTCACAGGGTTTTTGGGAGGCTTCAATGGAATGGCAGTGTCAGCTTTCAGCACTTAGGGAAATGTTCCCTTTCTATAATGATGTTAGTCCTCATTATTTTCTGAAAGGTTGTTCCGTTTACTACTATTTTACTACCATTCCTGAAGAAGGGTTGTTTTCTGCTCCTTGCTATACTTTCTAGTGCTATTAGTATTTGTAAAGTGGGGCAGGGTTTCCGCCTTCTCCCATTTCGACAGCTTAGAAAAATATATTCTTTCATATTCATATCCAGCTTTCTCATGCTTTATTTACCAAGCAGGGAATAAGTAAGATGGCATGGTCACTGTTGGGCAGCTCTATGAAGGACAGACAGGGAAACAGTGAGAACACAAGAGTCAGAAGAGATTGGAGCCAGCAGATGGCATAGTGATTACATTGCTGGACTCTCACATGGTCAACTGCGGTTCGAGTCCTGGAACTGGTGACTTGACAAATCACTCAGGGCACATGTGCATGCATGCCCAGGGTCCCAGGAGGAGAATGGAGAAGGGATTGCAGTGTGGCCATCCCCCCAGGGAGTGATTTCTCACTTTCCCTCACCATGTCTGTCTCTCTCCTCTGCAGTGCATGTACCCTAGGCAAAAACCTCTATAAAAATAAAAGAAGAAGAAGAGATGGTGTAATTAAGTGGGAGGGTGGAAATGCTGGGAAGAATAGGATGGTATCTTAATCTGATAAAACGTGGGATGCAGCAAGGCTGTGACTGTGTGGAGGAAGAAACTCAGACAGCTCTCAGCCCTATCTGGCAGAGATGAATGACACTGACTCATGCAGCATGAGTGTGAGCTCCAGCGACGCCACTGAAGCCTCTTATCAAAGCCACTATGCAAATACGTCTTTTTTTCCTACCTTGAAACTCAGCATTCATATGCATAACTCCCTGGAGTTTTAAGTCACTCCTTAAGACTTACCTTCCAAGACAGAGAAATCTGTTGTCTATTGTACTCAATGTGTTGTTTAATGTACCAGACATCTAACATCCCAGTGGGCGCTGTTTAAAAAGAAGAAAAACAAAATGTTTACACACATATGTACACAATAGAAAAATCTTTAAAAAAATCACTTAGTCATTCAATAGATGATTCTGGGAGAGTCAGATTAGAGGATAATTTCAATTTTCTTTATGACCCAGTATTTTCCTCTTTCCATTTAACAATGAATAATCAGGGCCCAGCAGGTGGTGCGGTGGTTAAGACGTTGGAATTCCCACATGGCCAACCACAGTTTGAGTCCCAGACCTGATGGCTTGCATTCTCTCTCTCTCTCTCTCTCATTCTCTCTCTCTCTCTCCCTCTCTCTGTCTTTCTCTGGCAAAAACTCATGCGAAATGAATTAATAAATATAGAAAAATCTTTGTTTAAAAAATGAACATGCAAAAAAGCCAGAAAAAAATAGGTTACCTTAAAAATCAACTTTTAAAAAACGTTGAGGAAACAAAATTCATTTCCTAACTTACTGTTAACACATATATTAGCAAAATAACTCAAAGTACGTGTGACTATTTCTCTCTCACTTTCTCAGAAATGCAGAAAGATCTCTCAACAAAAAAGTAAATACATATCACGGAAAACAGATTTTGCTCTTATAAAAATACAGAACCCAAATAAACACAGCAAGTCTTTTATTTACCTCTTTTATGTACCTCCATTCCCTGTTCCTGCATAATTATTTGGCTTTTGCTCACTAGACAATGATCTACTTGAAAGGAAGGGTGATCTCCTTTATCCTGAGTCACCATACCTAGTGCAGCATTTAGAATGTAATCAGTTCCCAATAATTGTTAAACAACGAATGAACAAATCAGGCAAACATATTTGCTGCCAAAACACAGGCTGAACTGATAGAAGAAATAACCGCAATCTACATGACAATGATCAAATACTGCCTAATTTGAGAAAGCCAAGCAAACATACTTGAAAAGAGACTGGAAAGTCAACGCCTACATGTCACACGTGAGTGTGCGTGTGTGTGTCCGTGGAGGAGTTTTATTTCCTCGACTACCAAGTCACTTCAATTTGTTTCGATTTACAACCAGGGCTTAGAATCAACAGGAACAGCCCCTAAAAATAGGCTTCCGTTGTACCAACCGCATTTCCTTATCAACGAAACTTAGAGTATATTGAAGCTGGCACTGCAGTGGGATTCCTTCTGGAGTCCAAAGTTCCATTTAACCAGATGGAAATGTCTAAAACGGAAGCCTTATCACCTTGATAACAGAAGACAAGCAGCCGGGGGAGAAGAAGAGGGAAGGATGAGGAAGGGCCCAGTGTGGCCCACTGGTGGAAATATCTCCCGCCCTGCCTATACCCTGTAACAGACCCCAGGGCAGTGGTCTGCGCGTGAGCTTCCCAGCTGGCCATCTGTGGGCCAAACCCAGCTCTGAGATCTTGAACAACTACAGCCATTCCCCACATTCCCCTCATCTATCAAATGCGGATAATATTTCCACACCTCACGATAATTTAAAAAGTGCGGACACAGGGAAGGACTCCGCCAATGAGCCGTGTAGCTTTCATTTGCAAACGGAAGCGCTGTGAGGTGAAGGAACACAGGGCTCAAAACGGATCACCGGAGAGGCCAGGTTTTGAACATTGGTCTGTCTTTTTTTCCCACAGTCTTGGCTCTAGGAAGGCTTATGCTATCTCTACAATACTTCTATCCCCATCAAATGGGATTTCTTTGGTATTATTTTCTCTTCCTTTGTCACTTCCTCTTCTGGACCCTTCACCCTCTTTCTTTCTTTTCTTTTTTGTTTCTAAAGAACCTCTTCTCTTTTTTCCGAAAACCTCCTCTCTCACCTCTCTGTCCACCAGTGGTAGCATTTCCCCTTGCAGCAGGGACTTGAAGGTAAGAAATGCTTCTATAAGACGTTTTGGAAATGTCCATTCCTCAGGATTATGCAGAGGGCCCCAGTAATCAAGCTGGAAATTCCATCTGCTAGCCCAGATGCAAAAAGGAAAAAAGCACAGGCAGATGAAGCAAAGGGGACCCGATGTTTACTAACCACCTACTAAGCACCAGGTAATGTTTGGACACTTTATATAATGATCTCATTTCATTCTGACACAAGGCAGGGGTGCATAGCAATAATCTTGCTTTATAGCTAAGGACAGGAAGCTGGTTTAATCATTTACAAGAGACTTGGAGCTGGAAAATGGCGATGCTGTGAGCTCAACGAGGTCTCATTTTCTCTTGCTCTTCCCTTTAGGTTCACCATATTGGACAAAGATTTGAACACCCCACAAACTAGATAATCTAGACATTGACTATATAATTAGGATTTGGAAACTTGGTGTGCTCAGGGTCAAAGCCAGCTAAGTGTCTTAGCAGTAAATGTCTTCAGTTAATTACACTTTGGTAGGAAATTCAAAGGGAACACATTGCTTCATTAAAGAGCCACAACCTAACAGATTATTAAAGAGCTAAGAATTAATTCTAGAGTCATACTCTCTCCACAGGATTAAACTGCAAGTGACACTGAAATTTTAATGGTGTCCACCCTCAGTGTGTGCCTTCGTGGGAGAGAAATCATTAGTTGAATCTGTATGAGTTTCAAAGGGTAAAATTTCACGACCAGCAGTGTCAAATCACTGCTGCTTTAAAGCAACATAAGGACTATCAGGAGTAAAATCTTTGACATTCAACTGTTATGAAGTCACTTAAAGTTCTAACCTCAGTGTTATCTATTAAGGACAGATAAGACTATTATTTGTAGGTGAGAAAAAGAAACAGGCCAATGTGTTTAAGGGACTTGTAAAGAAATGGGTACAAATGACTGAAAATATAAATATGAGCAATGGAAGTCAGGTCTCCTGAGAACACTGTATCTTAGGTAAAGGGAAAAATTGTAGGGTTAAAGAAGAGGAAGCTACTAATATCACAAAAAGAGATGCAAATTAATCAGGATATTGGCTTACATGACTTTGAAGGTTCTGTCAACTCTTTCTTTTTTTTCTTTTAAAGAATTACTCGATTTAATTTTATTTATTTATTATTTTTTAGATTTGACCAGAGAGGGACAGAGTGGGAAAGAGAGAGAGGGAAAGTGAGAAAGTAAGCTGCCAGGTCCAGGACTCGAACTGCAGTCTGCCATGTGGGAGTCCAGCGTCCTTAATCACCATGCCACCTGCAGGCCCCAAAGGTTATTTCAACTCTAAGATCCTGAGTCTAGGAATATACGAAACATGCACATTGTAAACAAATTGGAGTGTTGCTTCTGAGATTTGCATCCCTACAAGAAGTTAGGCAAGTGCAGGGGGCCTGGACGGGAGATGAGAGAAAGCAATTGCTTCACAGAGATTTAAGTGGGCAATCAGGAGAAGCAGGGGGATCTCCAAGGATAGTAAGCATGAAGGATTTAATGAAGAATAAATATGGAAAAGCCACATCCTGAGGGGTGGTATACTAAGTGGAATATATGAGGATTTTTTGGTCTCGTCCCAGACCAAGTCATGCTTGGAGCAGGGCAAGTTAGAGATAAGTAATTTACCTCCTTTATCACTTGCTACTCACTCTTTGGGCTATGATCTATTTATCTAAAATTTAGTTTTAAATAACTCACTTCAAACAGATCTTGCAAACAGCTACTTGAGTAAACATGTTTCTAGAGATAGGTTCATGCCTTCAGACATTATCACCTGCTATGCATTCAGACCAGAGAGAGAGAGACAGAAAGGGAAAGCGAGAAAGTAAGCTGTCAGGTCTGGTTCTCGAACCACTGTCGGTGGTTGGGAATATGAATCCATCACCCTCAACCACCATACCACCTGCCGGCCCTGCTGCTATGCATTCTTATGAAGTTGTGTATAGTCACCCCATCTTTCTCCTCTTTGATTAACAGCATTTGGTTCACTCTCCCTTTTTTCACACTATTCTCGGTTCCTCATCGTCCACAGGGGTGTTGTTCCCAGTGGCTGGAACTATCAGTCCCTCCACCTGCCCATTTCCAATGGTCTGCTTCTCTCAACTCTGTCTCCGACTTTACTGAACTAAAGAAAGCAATCAGGTAAGAATTTTCTCATCTGTCCCATCAACACTTTCAAGCATCCCCAACCGTTCTCTAGTGGCACTCCCACTAATAATACAATAGATGAGGCCCCTCCACTTCCATCAAAGTCCAACCCCTTCACTAGCATTCTGGATCTCATCCCCTGTTGCTTTACCAAGAAGGACTTCTCTCCAACCATCATCCCCAGATTCCTTGTCATTGATTTCTCCCTCTCTCCTGGACCTTTATCATCCCTTTGCAAATACACTGTACAATCTCTGATCCTAAAAAAGCCCAACACCTTCTTAATGTTGTTATCTTGTTCCAGTTACTGTCCCACATTTCTGCCTCCCTTGACAGAACTTCTTAAAAAGAGTGACGGAGTGTCTTTACCTTCATTCCCTCATCTCACATTCGCTCTCAACCCACACATGGAGGTTCCCCATCACTCTACTACAGCCCCTGGCTGTCCGTGTTGCCAAATGTAATAGTCACGTCTTTCTTCTTATTTCCAAGGATGTTTTTCTAAAATCTGGTTGTTTTCTTCCCAGTATCAGACTTGCCTTTGGTGGATAATGATTTGAGGCTGTCCCAAAGACAGGAAGGTGGTTTCTTGGCGCCTGCCCCTTACTTAGTGGCATTTAAGTGTTTCTCCCAGAGGACTATGGCAGGAGTTGAGTTTACTGAGATAGGAAAGGGCCATCAAGAGTAAAGAATGCCCTCACCCACTGCCGAAATGATAGAAATAACTACCCAACCCACCAGCTGTCACATTCCTCCCTGGTTTGAAAAGCAAAATCTGCAAAGAGCTCAATCATAAAATCGATTATTCACCATTTTAGAGAGGACCTACAAAAAAAGCTTACTAGTAATTTTTTTAAATGCCAAATTATAGATGAGTGCACACTGAAAGGGTTAAAAGGAAGTGTTAAAAAAAATTCACACCTTTTAGGTTTACATGGGTTGGTGTTCATAAAGAAACTGATGACAGAAACAGTGGTAAAATGTGAAAACCACACAGCTTAGAGGACAAGGAAAGAGCCCCTACGACAACCCATAGAAAAAGATCAAACACAGAGAAGGGAAATTCAGATGCTGAAAGGGAGCCAACACTGAGCAGCGTGTCTTAGAGTAGGGTTTCTCTCTTTATGAATGCCTGCAATTCATCTGAATACGCCGACTTCCTGGGTTCGATTCATAACCATCCACACTTTCATAACCATACTCGTTACTATGAGGGTGGCTTATTTTAGAGTGTATGAAAAAGTGGCTGTTCTACCTTAGAGGAATTTAAATATAAATAAACACTAAAAAGAGAGAGAGAGCCTTTCACACATCTCTAAGTAGGTAATTATTAAATGTGAGTAAAAATAGGGACCAGCAGATGGTTGCATCCTTGGACTCCCATGTAATTGAACACAATTCAAGTCCTGGACCTGGTGGCTCAAAACTCACGCCAGGCGCATGCACATGCATGCCCAAAATCCCGAGGGGAGAATGGAGGAGGAGGGATTGCAGTATGACCACCACCCTGGAGGGGTGATTTCTCTTTCTATCTCTGTCTTTCTAGTGAGTGCATGTGCCTTATGGCAAAAAAATCTTTAAAAAAAAAGTGAGTAAAAATAACGAGAACTCAGAACCAGCAGATGGCGTAATGGCTATGTTGCTAGACTCCCATGTAGTTGACTGCGGTTTGAGTCCCAGACTCAGTAGCTTAAATTCATGCCAGGCACATGTGCATGTGTGCCCAAGATCCTGAGAGGAGAATGGAGGAGAAGGAACTGCAGCATGGCCATCACCCCTGGGGGGTGATTTCTCGCTTTCTGACTTTCCATCTCTCTCTGTCTTTCTGGCAAGCACATGAAAGCAAAAGACTCTCAAAAAAAAAAAAGAAAGAAAGAAAAAGAAAAGAAAAGAAAAAAAAAAGTGAACTCACAAGCCCAGAGTTTCTCTAGTTTATAGTTTAGTTTACTGTAATATAACTTAAATATTTGTCAACCTATTTACTATCCTAAAATTGGACATAAAATAACACCTATTTTCAAAAATTATATCTGTACTATATACTGTCAAGCATCACACTTAGCAAAGGGGCTAGGTTCTGAGAAACATTTTGTTTGGTAGTTTTGTCGCTGCATGAATATCATAGGGTATATTTACACAAACCAGACAGTGTTGCCTGCTACATACCTAAGCTACATGGAATAGCCTATTTGTTCCTTACGGGGCCACTGTCATGTATGTGGTCTGTCATTGACATACGGCACATGGCTATCAACCAAATTTAATTCTTGAGGTATTTTGGAAAAAAAAAAACATTACTTTGACTACATGTGATACAAAGACAGTAAGAGGAAGCTCTGGATTATACAAATGACAAGCAGAGCATTTGGCTCAGTATGAATCTAAGAGAGTTTATCATAAAATGAGACGTAATTTGCTATCACCTGTTGGATAAATTCATTTTTAAATGTAATATTTTAAAATAGAGAAATACAATTCATTAACAAGAAGAAAACTGTGAATATTCTAAAAGTCATATATTAGGTATTTTATTCTGTTAATAGACTCTTTAAGTCCTTGTCAATAATACATCCAATGTCATTGATGTGTTATTACTGTCATCAGTGACTAAAAACTGCTAGTAGCTCATAGAAAATGCATGCAACTTAATCACAAGGCTAGTTTACGTGTGTACGCTTCTGTATTCCACAAATTAGATTTTCACACATTAGTACTACAATAGATCCAGATAATAAACAAGTGATTATATGCCAGTAATTTCGTCTCAGTAAAATTTACAAAGGTTGTGCAAAGTTCTATACCATGTATCTCTGGAAAATATTCTTGTTACTTTTTACAAATTTATCGCAGAGTGTATGCACTCACCAGACAGAGAGAAAGAGACAGAGAGAAAGCATCCCCATGATGGGGTGTGCTAATGTGGCAATTCCTTTTCTTCCATTTCCCCCTTCTTTTGGGATGTTGGGCACACCCTCTCAAGTGCCTGACTTGTTTTTCAAGCTGCTGGGCTTGGGATTCAAATCACATAGTCAGTCATGTGTGGTCAGGCTCCCTTAACTGCTAGGCCACAGGGCCAACTCTGCTTTGAAAAACTAATATTCAGATGACTATTTCTGTGTCTACAAGATTTGTTAATATTGGCATAAAAATTATATAAGCATCTTTGTTTCAATAAAATATTTGCTTACGTATCAATAAACTTGCTTTTCTGAAAATTACCAAACAAGGAAAGTCCACTAGACTGAAAAATACATGTGATACCTTTTTTATAACTATAAGCAGCCAGGCGTTACTCATCTAGCCAGTGACTGTCAAGGGCTTAACGTACAGTGCTATAATACTCAGAGGAGAGAAGATTGCTGGGTGTCAGGTGTTACTGTAGACTACTATTGGGTTGTCGGAAAAGTCATGATGCACTTTCGCATAGAAAAACAAACAAAAAAAAAACTATGTCATGACTTTTCCAACAATCCAGTAAGTTGGAAGAATCTATTTTCTTCCTTCCTTCCTTCCTTTCTTTTCTTTTCTTCTTCTTTTTTTTTTTTTGTTTCAGAGATTTTTGCTATAGAGCACATGGTCTTGCAGGAAAACAGAGAGAATCAGAGAGAGACGGAAAGTGAGAAATCAGTCTCCGGGGCGGGGGGGGATGGCCACACCACAAACTCTTCTACCCCATTTTCCTCCTGGGATTTTGGCCATGCACACATACACGTGCCTGGCATGCATTTATAAGCCACCAGGTCCAGGACTTGAACCACAGTCGACCACATGAGAATCCAGTGCTTTAACCACTATACCACCTGCTGGCCCCTAGAGTATACTTTCTTTCAAGCTTTAGTTTAGCTTATAGAGCCTTATTTATTTATTTATAGGGCAAGAGAGAGAGAAAGAGAGAGAGAGAGAGAGAGAGAGAGAGAGAGAGAGAGAGAGAGAAAGTGAGAAATTACCACCCAAGGGGGTGGCACACCACAATCCCTTCTCCTCCATTTATCTCTCAGGAGTCTGGCATACATGCACATGCACCCCACGTGATTTTCAAGCCTATGGTCAGGACTCCAACCACACAGTTGACCATGCAGGATCCAACCACCTTAATCTCCACGCCACCTGCTGACCCAACCATATTTATTTTCATAGAATCAAAAATGTAAAATGTATCAAGGTTTAATTTTGAAGGAATGAGAGTAATTTCTGGTCATAACTTTGTGGAGTATGAGAGTTACTGCGGTAGCAATAGCAATGAGGATAAGAGGGACCAGCAGGTGGCGTAGTGGTTAAGGTGCTGGACATTGCCACATAGCCGACTACAGAATCACACCAGATGCATGTGTGTGTGTGTGTGTTCCCAAAATCCCAGGAGGAGAAGGGAGGAGAAGGGATTGCTGCGTGGTCATCACCCCGGGGAGTGATTTTTCACTTTCCCTCTCTCTGCCTGTGTCTCTCTAGCACGCAAACATGCCCTATGGCAAAAACCTTAAACGTATCTCCCTGGACAGCTTCAGTACTTAAGTTAATGTCAGAATTAACTTACCAATTACTGCAATCATGCTTTTTGATTTAGTACCAGTACTTTAGAGATTCTATTCCAAGGAAATCATTGATACTGTCCTCTCCTTTAGTTCTTTCTCTTCCTTTTCTTTCTTCTTCTTTTTTTTTTTTTTTTAATTTTGTGTGTTTTTGGTTTGCTGGGTTTTATTTTTGTTTTTGACACATACCTTCTTCTGGTGTTTGCGTTTTCAATGATTCACTCCAATCACTCCAATCGCCTTTATAAAGATGTAGCTTAGAAGAAATCTGAAATTCATATTCTGTAAATGGTTTCAGATTTAGCAAATGATGTCTTCCTCTGGCATTTGTAACATTAACCTTTAATCAGACAAGAGTTTTTAAAGTGCATATTAATACTAAATTAATTTAAAGAGTTTTAACATAAAATGAAATCAGACCAAATGACCCTTTGATTTTTCATGTCCACTGTTCAATAGGAAGAAGTCCCAATGACTGGATTACTGAATGCACATTATTTTAATCTGAAATAGTCTGTCATTAAAAAACAGAAACAGAAATAAAGTCTCCTGGGACTTAGCTCATCTGGTTGAAAACTACCAGTTCTCAAAAAGTTGTGGGAAAGTGTCTACCCTAGAGATCATATTTTATGTTACAAAATAGAATGGTTACAATTAGAGGGACCAGCAGATGGCATAATGGTTACATCGCTGGACTCCAACATAGTTGACTCTGGTTCGAGTCCTAGATCTGATGACATAAAACTCATGCCAGGCACATGTGCGTGCATGCCCAAGATTCCAAGAGGAGAATGGAAGAGAAGAGATTGTGGCATGGCCATCCCCTGGATGGGTGATTTCTTGCTTTCTGTCTCTCTCTGTCTCTTCAGTGAGCGCATGTGCCGAACCCCCCCACCCCCTCAAATAAAACTCTCTAAAAAAAAATAGTTACAATTAGAATGTGATGACTATTTTAACAGAGACAGAACTGATTTCAAAATGAAAACTTCAGTTACACCTCTCTTCAGTATCAGCTACATATGGAACTGACCCTTTATTATTATTCAAAGCTATTGTATTTTTTTTAACCCTGGAAGAAATCATAGTCCTGTACTTTTTATTGCTAAAAAAATATAATGCTGGGGCCAGCAGGTGGCATAGTGGTTAAGGACTCCCACATGGCTGACCATGGTTCGAGTCCCACACCTTCTGGTGGCTTGCTTTTTCACTTTCTCTCTCTCTCTGCCTCTGGTGAGTACATGTGCCCTGTAAAAAATTTAAAAAACAATAACAATAATAATAAATAAAATGAAATAATTCTTTAAAAAATGTAATGCCTAATACAATACTGAGTTGTAGTTCTTTTCTCTGGAATATTCAGCTCCATATAAACTTTTATGGGTGTTCTGCAATATTCCTCCTCCCAATATGTTAAAAAAATGCTGAAAAACAATAAATGGGGCAGGAGGTAGAATAACAAAGATAAATGACTCCTTCACTAAAATTAAGTTATATAAAAATAATACTGCCTTATAAAAGAAAAATTATTTTTAAAAATTTCAGAATTAGTCATTGAAATTCAAGAAATGTCTTAATACTAGAGGTGGACATGACTTGCTGATGGATCTCAAGTATGTACTTTCAGTCTGTGCAGCAATACGAGGAACCCCTTAACATTCTCCCCTTCATGCTGAAGATCATTACCAGGTTCCAGGACCTGCTGTCCCTGGGCCGATATCTCAGTCGATTAAGCAGCACCAGCCCCTCATCTTTCCACTGAAGGGTACATCTGCTTCCAGAAGCATTTGGAAATTGGATGCTGATGTCCCACGGGGGAAGAGGAATCACTAGTCATAAGAACAAACAAAAAAGCAGGGTTCAGGATCCACAACTGGAAAATACCTTATGTGCACACATGAGCTACAAAGAATTGAACAAAACTTTCTAAGATACATGACTATCAACTTGGTAAATACATAAGGGGGAAATTCTTGGTTGTAGCGGGAAAAATGAGTTGGATTCACTTTTTTCTTTCTTCTTTATTTCTTCTTCCTTTTCCCTTTCTTTTTATCTTTCCTTCCTTCCTTCCTCCCTCCCTCCCTCCCTCCCTCCCTCCCTCCCTCCCTCCCTCCCTCCCTCCCTCCCTCCCTCCCTCCCTCCCTCCCTCCCTCCCTCCCTCCCTCCCTCCCTCCCTCCCTCCCTCCCTCCCTCCCTCCCTCCCTCCCTCCCTCCCTCCCTCCCTCCCTCCCTCCCTCCCTCCCTCCCTCCCTCCCTCCCTCCCTCCCTCCCTCCCTCCCTCCCTCCCTCCCTCCCTCCCTCCCTCCCTCCCTCCCTCCCTCCCTCCCTCCCTCCCTCCCTCCCTCCCTCCCTCCCTCCCTCCCTCTCTCCTCCCCTCCTTCCCTTCGTTCCTTTTTTTCCTTTTATTTTTCCTTCTTCCTATTTTGTTCTTTTGCCAAAAGGTACATGCAGTCACCAGGGAGAGAAGGGATAAAACATCCCATCCCCAATGGGCCATGGTCACATCTCATGGATTTACTTCTAAGTCATCAAAATAATTCCTCTTTATCCAACCTCATTTTTACCAAATATCTATTATCAACATTAACATTAATTCAATCTTTTAAAAGAAAAACAATTTCTTGGGCTAGCAGGTGGCATGATGGTTAAGGTGGCTGGAACCTATATGGCTGATTCTGTGGTTCGAGTCCTGGACCCAGGCTGAAAAACACACCAGATATGTGTGCATGCATGCCCAAAGTCCAAAGAGGAAACTGGAGGAGAAGGGATTATGGTGTGGCCATCACCCTTGGGGACTGATTTCTGACTTTCCCCCTCTCTCTCTCCAGCAAGTGCACATGCCCTACAGCAAAATAAAAAATGCTTTAAAAAAAAGAAAGAAAAGCAACTTCTCAAACTTAAGAGTTCCAATGACTAAGGAGCCAGAGATAGCTAAATGCTGGCAGGAAAACTCAGAGCAAAGAGACACAGTCACAGAGGAAAAAGAAGAAAAAGGACTGGAGAAGAGACAGTGGCTTGGCTCTGAATGGTCTAGGAAAGAGACAGAAGGCAGGAAGGAGGAATGTGGTAGAAAAGGATCCAGTAAATGCCGATGACCAGACTTATGGTCAGCAGCGAGGTGCGGGACGAGGGGGCTGTGGGAAGAGAGAAAAGAGACAGAGAGTAGGAGGGTGGAACCTCAGGCAGGCCGGCAAACCAGTCCTTCCGTCCTAAGTCAGAACTCTGGATGCCGATTGGCTTCTGACTCAAGTGGGCCAATTATCTTTGCTCAGCAATGTGCTGGAACTGGCTCACTCCAGCTCCCAACCTGGTGAGACGGGTGGAGGTAAGTGGTCTCAGAGCGAAGTGCATTGATACCCAGGCACATTTTACTTATTGTTGGCACCTGGCTGCCCTGGCCCAACAGGCCCACAGGCAGCCTATCTCAGAGCAGCAGGCGTGGCCTGCAGGGTAAAAGGACACCTCCACTGGAAAGGACCTGCACCGACTTCCGACTCCTCGGATGCCCACAGGACGCTCTCCTGTTTAGAGGTATCATGACAGCCGGTGCTTTCTGGGGATTTGAGGCAGGGGCTGGCATCTCTCCGAAGGACAGAGTATGTTGGAGTGCTCTTTTATACGCCCATCTGTACAGCTGGGCTCCTGCGCCCTTTCACTGTACTATAGTATCTTCTAACTTCTGCTCGTGCCTGTTGGCTGCTTTCCATCCATCTCTGTCCCTCTCATTTATCTTATTTTTATTTTTAAGGTTTGGCTACAGGTCACATGTGCTTGCCAGAGAGACAGTGAGAAGGGAAAGTGAGAAATCATGTCCCGGGGGTGGGGGAGGGGAGATGGTCACACTGCAATCCCTTCTCCTCCATTCTCCTCTTGGGATTTTGGGCACTCACATACATAGCACGCTTCATGTGATTTTCAAGCCACCAGGTCCTAGACTCAAACTATGGTCAGCCATGTGGGAGTCCAGCACCTTAACTAGCATGCCACTTGCTGCCCCCAACCTCTGTCCCTTCTGGAACAACCATATATGGAAGATTTGAGTGATCTGGAGGACAATTTTCATGTGCCAATAAATGCCACCTAAAAAAAAGTGAACTAGAATGTACCTATGTCCAAGGCAGAGAATGTAAGTGCAGGTGAAGAAGAATTTCCCAGACTATTGTGGGCTGTAACCGTGGCTGTGAAACTGGATTCAGGTGACTCAGGGGTTAGGTTGATTCCAAGGTCCAAATGATCACAGTAATGATCTTTGCATTGCTTTTGCCAAACTACATTTCTGGGTCCATTTAACCTGTAAACGAAAGACAGTTGTGTTTGGCAAGATTTTTTTTTTTTTTTGGTGTTACTTTCTCCTTTTAGTACAAAAGAAGACGATGTGCAAATATTTAAAGTTCTGGACAGTTTTTAAAGGTCAGTCTTACTAGGAGCTATGCCATGGCAATATTTGCATTCCATGATCATAAATAGGACCATACTTCCTTCTCGCCCTTTTCTTAGTAGGATTTTTTTTTAATTCATATAAATGAGTGACCAGGACTGCAATGTTAGTGCTCCCCAAAACCTGGCTGTCATCTCATCTACTTGGGGCAATTTCATCAATAGAGGGTCCATGGCCACCTTGGTACTTAACTCCACAGAAGCGTCAGCTGCCATCCCAGCAGAATGGGATCAGACCAGAACTCTGGGCTCCATCTCCTTCCCTCCCTCCTGCTTACTCAGGCATGGCACACGTCGGCTGGATCTTCGAAGGGATTATGGAATTCACCCTAAGGAACAGAATGTCCCAAACCCTCTCTTCTTTGGACTCTCAGGTCAGCCAATGATGCTTTAAAAAGAAACTCCTCCAAGCAAATGGAAAACTACCCCTAGGAAGAGTCTATTTATGTATCATGACCCCAAGAGTCTGTGACTGCAAAAAAGGCAAGAAATATTAAGCAGCTGGTTTAACTCTGTTAAAACAGGGTAGATACCCTTAATAGGCTTTGGATGCCTTGCAGAGAACTCTGATTTGGAACTCAGACCCAAGACATTAGGTCTCACACTTTAGATGAATAAACCAGTTTATTCACCAGAATAAACTAATGAATGCTACATTTTTTTTAAAGTTCCTAATTGCATAGAGGTGTCTATTGCTTCTTCTCTCTGGTCAGAGTAAAGCTGTTAGACATTTCTGAATGTCACTTAATGGAAGATTTACAAAACAGGTATTCTCAACTGGATTGGTCTGAGAAGTTATTTCATGATGGGTAAAGTCTTTTTACAAGCAAAATGAGAAACAGTGATTGACTGTTTAAAAAAGTAATTGGAATAATAATAATAATGATTGGGAAAAACAATGAAAAGATATTGAATGTTGAAGTGGGGAGATTAATGTCTCTGTATTGACTGACATGCATGGCATTCCCTTTTGAAAAAGCAATGTAATACACTGTAAAGTTAAATGCAATCCAATGTAATATAAACAAGATTATGATGATAATTAAAAAAAAAAAAACAGAGCCTCTACTCACTGTAAAGTGTACGTAGTATAGAGATGGGTGTATCGTCCTCTGTCCCACGTGCAGACCACGGTCCCTCGTTCTCCCTTCTGTATACAAGATAAGTTTCGAGGCTGTTCTGGAATAACTTTAAACAAAAAGAGAAAAACCTTATGCTTGAAATATCACCCACGTGATAACACATTGTTATTATCTTATAACAATTTGACGATCCTCCTTCACGTTCCCCAAACTGAGATAAGCTGGCAACTATGATAGATTCCATCAGGTTCAAATTCCTTCTCATAGAAGCAATGAATTATTTGGATCAAACATATTGTATGAATATGGATCAAACACTATAGGTCAAGCACTCTGTTAAATGTTTCACGTGTAATGTTTCTCATGTAGACCTCATAGCATCCTATGAGGGAGATACCATCATTATCCTCATTTTATCAAAGAGGAAATTAAGACGTAGAGAGGCCAAATCTCTTGCCAAAGAATACAAATTAACAATTAGCGAAATCCGGGCTGCAGCCCAGGGATAGCTGACTGAAGTCCAACCTACCCCTCCTATATTCTATCATTTTTCCTAAAAGGAGCCAGTAGTTCCCTTATGTCCGGTGATGACGAGTTAACTGTTTTGGAGTGATGCCCATTCAGAATCTGATGCCAAGATACCTTTACCCTCTTGCCCTGGTCATGTCTTTTTGGGCTGTCCCACCTAAATCTACTTTCTGCAGCACATCATTTGGAGCACTTTGTGAAAAGTGGGCCAGGAATAGTGCTATCTGTGGACATGCAAACTTGTAAGGCAAGCATGGTCCCTTCTAGTGAAAGGTGTGTATTTTGAAACAATGCTATTTTTCATGACCCAAGCTAAGAGTTTTTCAGACATAACTCTGTTCTACTTTCTACCTAATACTGAGACCCACATGCAAATAGGTGTTTCCTGTGGGTGAGTTAAAATATGTATACTACTGAAGCCCTGGACATCGTCTGCATGGAAAAAAACTAATTGATGGAGTGAACATCTTTTTTTGTTGCTAGCACATACTATTGACACAGACACAGTAAGACCTACTATGTGATCTTGGACAAGTTGACCTCTCAGAGCTTATTTTACTCTATAAAGTGTGGGTAAAACAATATCTAGCTCATACAGTTTTTTTGTTTGTTTGTTTGGTTGTTTTTGCTGTACATTTTGCTAGAGTGTATGTGCACTTGCTAGAGCGAGACAGAGAAAGCAAGAAAGAGGAAAAGTGAGAAAATTTACTTGTGGATGGCCATGCCACAATCTCTTCTCCATTCTTTTCTTGGGATTTTTGGGCTTGCATGCACACATGCCTTGCATGTTTTTCAATCTGCTGGATTCAGAACTTGAACTGCACAGTCATCTATGTGGGGCTCAGATACTTCAACCACTATGCCACCAGCTGGCCCATCTAGCTCATATAGTTTTGTTTTGTTTTTAGAAATATTTTTACTATAGGGCGAGTGCGCTCACTGGAGAGATCGACAGAGAGTGAGAAATCACCCCTCAGGGGGGATGGCCACGCCACAATCCCTTCTCCTCCATCCTCCTCTTAGGATCTTGGGCACACACACATACGCACCCAGCATGAGTTTAAGCTGCTGGATCCGGGACTCAAAACCGTGGTCAACCATGTGGGAGTCCATGCCATCTGCTGGTCCCTAGCTCATACAGTTCTTTCCTAAAATAAGACTCTTCCTTGTACATATATATGTACACATATATACATATGTACACAGTGTATGTATATATATGTACACACACATAAATATGAGGGGGTTTTCAACAATTTATAAAAAATGTGTTTTATTAAATAATTATGAAGGGATTTAAAAATATATTTGCACCAAAATAAACTTATTCTTTTTTTAAAAAAGAATTATCTGTTCAATGTTATTTGTTATTATTACTATTTAAATTTGACCAGAGAGAGAGACAGAGAGAGAGAGGGAAAGTGAGAAAGCAAGCCACCAGATCCAGGACTTGAACCGCAGTCAGCAATGTGGGAGTCCAGCACTTTAACCACCATGCCACCTGCCAGACCCAAAATAAACTTATTCTTTAATCCCATTTTCTATGACCTTTTTGAGACCAGCAGGTGGCATGGTGGTTAAGGTGCAGGACAATCCCATGACCTTTTTGAAGTCCTCTATATGCTTATATATATATGTATATATAGTATAAATATGTATACACACTCGATTACTGAGCCATATAAGAATATCTTGTTAACTTTTCATTTTCTGTGCAACTTTTGCTTATCTTGCAATAATTGATTATCTTGTTCTTCCACTTGTTTCATTTTCTAATTATTAGCATAATTACAGTGATCTGATCACTGTTAGGCACATTCAGCTGCACTGGAACTTCCATCAGTTTCTTCTGCTTGAGAACTTCTCTCTTAGAACTGAGAATGTTCCAGGGAGATAGGCTGTCTCCATGCCAGGTTCACAGCTGTCATTCTCAGTATTTGTAATTTCTTTCTCTTTTTGCTGTGTTGGATCTCCTATAATCTTAGATCCAACCTTTTTTATTTTTTTCTTGATTTCATTACTTGTATTGTGGAGTATGCTTCTAGTAGTTCCCTGGAAAGGGATGCATGAGAGGAAATATTTTGAGCATAGTCTAAAATGTCTTGACTTGCCTCAGTTGTTGGTGGTATGCTGCTAAGATACTGTGCATGCAGGCTGAAACTTTATGAAAGCCCAGGGTTCAATTCCTGGTCCGGCCTAAAAAGTGGTCAGGTGACATGTACCTGCCATCCTACAGGGACACTGGAAGATTCTAAGTTTGATTCTGGCTTAGGCAACATAGCAAGACCCTGTCTTAACAAAGAACCCAGGTCAGGTCTCTTAACACAGCTGCTAGGCACTGTGGACAGGAAGCCAGATACCACATGGCCAACTAGGGTTCAAATCTCAACACAATAGGCTTGAAAAGCACGCTAGACCAACATGCCTGACAGAATGGAAAACTGAAGGAGGAAGGATTGCAGCATGGCTGAACCCTGTTGGAGGGTATTCTCTCTCTCTCTTCCTCTTGTTTTTGTACACACATGTGCCCCATGTCATAAAAAAAGAGCCCAGTGGTACATGCCTACAATCCCAGCTGGGAGGCTGAGGCAGGAAAATCATGAGAGCAAAACCCTATGTTTAAAAAAGTCTTTATTCTACCATCACCCTTGATGGATAGTTTGGCTAAGTACAAAATTCTAGGTTGAAAAGAATTTCCTTCAGGATTTTAGCAAAGCTCTGTTTTCATCTATATTCTAGGTAGCTATTTTCTTTGTTTTATTCATGATGGAGCACATAAACTTACACATGAGAAAGAAAGAGTGAGAGAACAAAGTGGAAAGAGATGAGCACCCACCACAGGGTCTGGTCACACTGAAATCTTCCTCTAGTTACTCAGTCCTTTGGATCTTGGGCATTCACTTGTATGCCCTGTGTGTTCCAGGGCAGCTGGGCTGGGGATTCAAACTGCAGTCACCATGTAGGATCTGGCTTCTCTTGAGCAGCTCATTAAAGCTGGGCCACAGAGTTAGCAAGCACTCAGATCAGAATTGAGAAACCTGAAGCCATTCTGATTCTTGGACAATTGTATGGTCTATTTTGTTTGTTTGTTTGTTTGTTTTTTCTCACTTAGAGATTGAAGACTCTTCTATTCCATCTACTGAGAATTTTCACAAAGATGTGCTTATTGAGGGTCTGTTTTCATTCATCCTCTGTATTCCAAATAGTTCATACATTTGGGGAGCTCTTGTCCTTAAGTTTAGAAAACTTTCTGGAATTATTGGGTCATCAGAAAAGTCACGACATATTTTTCTACACAAAAATGCATCAAGACTTTCCCAATGACCCAATTTCTCTAACGACTTTTTTTCTCATCGCTTTTTCTTTCTAAAAGTCTCATTTTTCATAGGTTAGACCTTCCCTTAACTTTATATTTTGAATTTTAGACTCCTTGACATTTTGCTCTATTATCAGGGAAAACATCCTTAGTTTATTTTTTCTACCATCACCTTGAGTTTTTCATTTGTGCTTATCTTTTCTTTTTAATTTGGGGGCATGTTTTCTATTTTGTAATTATTTCCTTTTAAAAGTATTCTTTGTTTTATACACCGTATTCTCTCTTAATTCTTTGAAAGTATCAGGATAATTGTTCGTTTTTAACACTTCTCCCTGAATACACTCTACTTCCTCCATTATGCTTATATACTTTGTTCGGTGTTTGTTTGTTTTCTAGAGAGACTTTTGCTATGTTCAAAAGGGCATGTGCATTCACTAGAGAAACAGACAGAAAGTGAGAAATCACCTCCCAAGTGGGATGGCCATGCCGCAATCCCTTCTCCTTCATTTTCCTCTCGGGATCTTGGGTATGCATGCACACACGCCTGGAGTGAATTTTAAACCACCAGGTATGGTACTTGAATTGCGGTCAACTACCTGGGAGTCCAGCAGCATAAGTATTACGCCATCTACTGGTCCCATGTTTTGTGTTTGTTTTAAAATGTTCTTCATGTTAGAGATTTTCCTCAGATCCTTGTTTACTCATATATAGGAGCAGGGCACTAAATTACAGATTGGGGGTTCTGACTCTGGATTTCACTCTAGGGTGTTCTGGTAGCTAGATTTCTTGGTAACTGCTGTTGTCCACATTTTTAAATATATTTTTTGGCCTAATCAGATTTCCTTGGAAAGCATTTTCTAGTCTACCTGGAGGAGGGTACAGGTTTGAGGAGAGCTATACAGAAACATTCTTTTCATCAGTCTGTATTCATATGGTACTGCCAACCTCAGCTCAACCCCTTACCCAGAGACCCTCTGATACCAAGCCTCCAGTCTTAAGCCAGAGCAGTGGAGGAGTGACTGACTGGCATCATGGAACTGGAAAGGCATCTGAGAATCTAACTGCTTTCAAAATAGACTTTCAATCAAAGCTATTTTTAGCCCCACTTTTGACCTCACTCCCAGAAGTACATGGTGTCACCACTTTCTAAGTCTTCCTGGGAAGGGAGCTTTTGCATTAAATCAAGTGGTAACTTGACTTTTCTTACTAGTTTCCCAAATTTTGATCATGTGTCACTCCTTCCATTTATTTATTTTTTTGTCCTTGAGGGTTGATGGCACTTGAAGACTTTATTACATCTTGGCTTTATGTCAAGAACAAAAGTAAATGCATATGTTCAATATACTATCTTTAGTCTGAACTCCCTTGTAGGGTGTTTTGATGAGAAAATGTGATGTGGGACCAGCAGTTAGAGTAACGGCTATGTCACTGGACTCCCACGTAGTCAACCGCGGTTTGCGTCCCGGACCCGGTGGCTTAAAACTCATGCCGGGCGTGTGTGTGTGTGCATGCCCAAGATCCTGAGAGGGGATGGGAGGAGAAGGAATTGCGGCATGGCCATCCCCCCTGGGGGGGGGATTTCTCGCTTTCTGTCTCTCTCTCTCTCTCTCTGTCTGTCGAGCGCATGCGCCCTATCACAAAAACCTCTCAAAAAAAAAAAAAAAAGAAAATGTGATGTGAAATAATTGGCACTTTTACATAATGGAGAAATTATTTCAATGCCCATTCTTAGTCCTAAGGTTTATGGAAACTCTCATTTTAAAGACTACAGCTTTCACTCACAAATCAAGTCAACTTTCTCAATGTGAATTCACTGGACCACGAAATCAGGGGCCCATTAGCTCAGGACTTGGTTTTGGCAGGCTGTCTATCCCACGGCAAAAAGGGCAGCATTCTCCTTAATACTAATTTACAGTAAGTGATGCCAAACAGAGAGCCAGTATCAAAAGCTGTGAAGATGAAAGTAACTTGCAGTATAAGACATTGTTATGACTATTATATTGTTACTGTTTTTTAAAGCCCTACCTATTGTGAAAAATAAAAAGTCTTAGGAAAAAAATCACTTTCGGAATATCAGCCAAAGCAAATCTGAATGGGTAAGCAAGAGTCCACTATCATGAGCCAGCCAGTCGTGCAGCCATAACCCAATGCCATGCAGTGCTCCATTGACAAGGGAAGGTCCCTGGTTCCCTTCCCAAGGCCTCTCTGTGTGCAGGGTGTGCATAGGGGCATGTTTATAATCCAGGTGGCCAAGGCTAGGGGTGGATTGCAGCATGGGGACCCCATTGAGGGTGCCTACCTGTCTCTCTCTTAATCATGGAGGAAATAAACTTATAATTATTGCCTTGATTTTCTAAATTATTTGTGGAATAATCTTATGAGTTTAACTAGCACATTGGTTGCTTAGTTTCTACACAAACTAGATAAGCTCTGAGCAGCAGACCAGCCCAAGGATGAGAAGCGACCAGATGAAAAGGCTTACAGACTGCTTGCCTATTCCCAGGTCCGAAAACCCAGCTAAGTGTATGACATATCTCAGGATACGCAGTGGCACCGTGGACTACCCCTTAGTGCAAAAAAAGAAAATAGGCTATTTATTCCCTCCCCAGGTGATATTAAACTTACTACACTGGGTGAAACCAAAATTCATTGTGTCTTTTCTTGGAATGACTAGTCATGCTCAGAAAAAGGTACTACTTCCAGTCAGTCCATCACCTTAAAGGTGCTAAACTTGCTCAAAGAACAGCCATTTGATTGTGCGGTTACTTCCTGAGCATCTTGCACAAGCAGCACTCTGGCAGCACCACCCTACTGAGCTGAACCAGGACAGACATGCTTCACCATTTCTTCTGATCTCCTGTTGCTGCAAACCACCACATACATCTACCTAGGTGGGAAAGTAAAAGCTGAAAAGGGATTGCAGCACTCTCATATACGAGAGCTCAGATAGGAAGTGGAACAAACAGCTAGGTACAGCTGTAAGGGTACTGACTGCCAAGGCTGCAGTCGATCGGCTAAGAAGAAAATGCCAGCAGCACTGTGCGGATGCCTGGAACTGGCTCTACAATGCTGACAATGTCCAGGAGGACAAATATGTAGTATTGGTCTGGTAAGATGGTAAATTACCTGAATGAAATGCTTAGGTGTTCTGAGGGAAGGGGAGGCAAACACCAATGGTATTCTTAAGGAAAAATTTGATTTTGTCTATAACCAATGCTTGCACTTTCTTTTAAGGGAATCATGTAGAATGCATGTATGGGCAGGCATGCAACCGGATGGAATGAAAACCCTACCATACATCACTTAAGTCCCTCCTATGTGCTCAATCCTGGAAGAAGCACTTAAAAAAAGTTTACTTATTTATTTCCTTCTTCCATGAGCAAGAGCGATACAGAGAAAGCAATCTCAACAGGGTCCTGGTGCTGCTATCCATGCCCAGCCTCAGCAAGCCCCAGATCATGGACACATGCATGTCTGGTATACTCAGGCAGGTTTCCAGAAAGCAAAATGGGAACTCTCCTACGTGGGTCAGTCTCATGGAGCATTGCAATTTACCACTGTATCAGCAACTAGCACCACCTCCCCCCCACCCTTTTTTTTTTCTTTTTTCTTTGGAGAGGTTTTCACTATAGGGCGCGTGCGCTCGCCAGACAGACAGAGAGAGACATAGAGACAGAAAGCAAGAAATCACCCCCCAGGGGGGATGGTCATGCCGCAATCCCTTCTCCTCCATTCTCCTCTCGGGATCTTGGGCATGCACGCACATGTGCCCGGCGTGAGTTTTAAGCCACTGGGTCCGGGACGTGAACCGCAGTCGACTACGTGGGAGTCCAGCGACATAGCCATTATGCTAACTGCTGGTTCCCTCCCCCCCTTTTTTTAATAAAAACATTTTGTACAGAAGAAATCATCTAATTCTTACAACCATTTTATGAGGTAGGTGTTAATATTTCCTAAACACAGATGGAGAAACTGAGGCTTTGAGAATTTAAGTTATCTAAGGGTACATTGCTAATGGTAGGGTTGGGATTCAAAGCCCACACTCCATTTGCACCAAAGGCTGTCAAAGCTGGGAATATGTGACCTTTAAGTGTGTGAAGGGAGGCCTGGAATTGGAAGAGGAGCACAAGACCTACTTTATGCCTCCTCCCACCAGTGATTTGCTTGGTCATTTACTTGGTCTTCTGCACAATGTTATTGGTGGCCCTCCAGGAAAATTGGCACCAACCGTCTCCTTATAAGTCACAGAAAAGAGATTTCCATATCTCCTGGCAAGAGTCTCATTGACTTTCTGACAGAGACTATGACCTTGCAGCTTGGTCAACCAGCCTGCTGCAACAATTTTTCCTAGTTCCTTCATGCTTCTTGCCTGCCACTCTAGCGCTTCCCTGAACCACTAAGGCAGAGGGTGCCATAAAGTCTCTTAGGTCTATGCTCAGTAGCTTGCTTGGTTGGACTTCCCAGCCAGGTGAGCGGCTGGTTCACTCTGTGGACTGTGGCTCAAGCTGCAGGGGCCTGCTCTGGGATCTTAGTTCTTACCTCCTCACAACATACCCCACAGTTGCCTGGAGGGGCCAACAAGGCAGGCCAGCAATGGAGGGTAACTGCCCTGTGGGGGTGAGATTTGACCCATGGGAGAGAAATTCTCCCTTTTTTCCTCTCCCATTGTATTTTCATATACTCTTTCCGGTGTTTCTCTAGGTGAACAAACACGCAGCTGCATTATCTGGTGAAGCTGTGGCCAGCCCAGAAATGTCACCCGCCTTGTAGTTTCTTTCTCTCCTTTTGTGGTTCACTTCCTCACTCTTGCCTCCTGGGGGCTAGACAACTTCAACCCCACCCCCATAAAGTGTTAGCGTGTCACTTTTGCTTCAGGTAGTTTTCTAGGGAATGCAGGAAAAGAAAATAAAGACGATTATAGTTTTCTTTTCATCTCTGTTCATTATGATAATCAGTGGTCAGAGGTGAGTGTGGGTGAGAGAATTAACTTGTGTGAATTAAGTTAGGGAGAAGAGGTGCTGAGCCTTGCTTGTGTAGGTATCCTGGGCTGTACAAGTCAAGAAAGACATCTCTTCTTTTTTCAAAGGTTGTAGTGTTGAACAAATTCTAGTAAGTCAAGAAGGCATGAAGACCCAGCTGGAAAGAGAGACCCATTTTCCCATTGGAGTTCAACACCATTGGAGTTCAAGGACAAAGAGAAAATGGTCTTAATGGACACAGAGAGACTTCTCAAATAAAACCTCAATTGCATTGCTTTCTGGAGTGCTCACATGGAGGTGTTCATGCTGCTATAGAGAGAAAATGTTTTCATGTGGTGGGAGAACAAAGAGCCCTTTGTACTCAGGTTTCTGCTTAGCACCTGACGAATACCAAAAGATGGCCAAGCTTTAGGAATTGAGAAGGGAATGCTCACCACCGACTGAGATCTCTGCCCCACATATTCGGATCTCACTATTGGTGCAGGCCAGTTTGCAGACAAACAAGGTTTTACCAAGGGGAAGATCTGTGACTTGAGAACTGAGGGAGTGACCTTGGTGAGAACTGATTCTTCCACCATACTTGTAGAGGATTAAGCGGTCGACACTGGAATTGTACAAGCAGCCTTGTTTGGGCTTCAAAGAGCATGAAATGTTGACAGCTGATCCATGTGAAATTACATGGGAGGGCTTCACGGTCACCTCTCCTCTCTTGCACACATCTGCAATGAGATAACGAGCACAGCACTCAGCGGCAATAAGAAACCCATTTTCGTCATGGAGGGTGTGTGCAGTTCCCCAAAGCAGAGTAAAGCATAGCCCATTAGGTCATGAAAATATAAATAACTTCCATTGCTCTGGCTGTATTAGTGATGCACAGAACACAAGGCGAAAATGTTAAAGTCTAACTGTATTTAAATCAAAGTCTGCATCCTTCTCAAAACAGTGATACTATAATGAGAGTCACAAATAGGAAAGAGGTGAGAAAGTAAGACTGGAAGAACTTTCAGGAACACCGTTCCAGGAAAAGCCAGCTTCTTTTATATGCAGATTATTTACCAGACTGCTAAAAAAAGCATCCAAGAAGAAATCATATTTGTTTCCCTGGTTTATGATTTATAATGCTTATTTCAATGCTCATCAAGAGGAAAAGCTGTAAAAGAGTATTGCAAACTTTAGGGGCATATTCAAGAATGATTCCTTCTCTTGCTATATTAGTCCTATAAAGTAGGTATAATCTGCAACTTTATTTTATAACAAAGAGAAAATATTTAAGGGCTCTGACGCATTTGTAGTTGGCATGAAGGATGAAAATTTGGTCTCACCACACCATATTTCGGTATTCCTTCAAGATGGAAGACCTGGGCTAGACGAACCATTCATTACCCGATGAGGCTGACATGAAATCGTATGCATGATTCCTTTTCCTTCCTTATCAATAAGAGTCTTCTATATTACTTACCCTTATTTAAAGGAGAGATCATTTGCTACTTCCCAGAAGTTCTGTATTAATAAACCATGACAACTATTCAGAAATTAAAAGCTGCTGTTGGTACTCAGCGACTAGCGATGAAAGAATCAGAATTATAAATTCACTCTGAATTTTCACATGTGATAGAAAGCCTCCAGGGAAAGTCTTTTCTAGGTAAGTGTAACATTGCTTAGATCAATCACCATAAACAAGAATCGGTAAGGAAGCTGTTTAAATCATATAAAGGAAATACTGAAAATTCATTAAAAAAATCTTTTTATTTTCAGAACTAAGATTCTCTCTCTTATCTTACTTAGATGCTTGTTTTCTGTTTCTTTGACCTCTTTTTGATCCTAATGGGTTAGAAAGCCAGAAACAAGCTATAAGTTAAAAAAATTAAAAAAATAAATAAAAGGCAAAGAAATGCAGGCTCTTTTAAAATGTGGCTGAAGTCACCTATGAATGCCTTCTGTTAAAAAGAACTGTAATGTTGGGACCAACAGTTGGCGTAATGGCTATGTTGCTGAACTCCTCCTATGTAGTCAACCATGGTTCAAGTCCCAGAACCAGTGGCTTAAACTCACAGCGGGCGCATGTGCGTGCCTGCCCAAGATTTTGAGAGGAGAATGAAGGGATTGCGGTGTGGCCATCTTCCCTGGGGGGTGATTTCTCGCTTCCTGTCTCTCTGTCTCTGTCTTTCTGGTGAGCGCACATCCCTATAGCAAGAACTCTCTCTCAAAAAAAAAAAAAAAAGAACTGTAATGTAAATGATGTATTCATGATGCCTGGATCGGTCACCTACCACTTTCTTAAAAGGTAATGATATGATCATTTTTTACACTAGTAATTAGCATAAATTAAATAATACATACACTAGTTACAGACATAGAACCAGACTTATCCACCTAACTGACAGAAGATGGACTACAAAAGACTAACTACCAGACCATTTACCACAAATGCACGGTTCATCTGTAGGTGAAAATTTAAACCACGAATCCCTCCACAAACTAACTTACAGAAATAGCTTACCTATTTTTGCTTTAATCACGAGCCACATGGTTATAAAAATAAGTGCCAATGACCATCCTTTAACAGTATGTGCCATGAACAGTCACCTCTGGAATACAGTTCTGTATTCTTCCTTGTGAAATAAAACAAATTCATTCATATTAGATAGATTCAGAAAACTCCCGACCCTCAATCATTCAGAAGAGCTTAAAGCACTACTTAGTTTTCCTCCACGTTGTTAAGATTTCATTATTTTTTTAAAATCCAGTATACCTTTAAAGCTAGAAAACTGAAAATATTGGCCACCTCCCAACCCCCCTCTCAGTGAAGCATGTTGGGGTCAGCAAAGGGTTGGAGAAGGCGCTTGAGTGTGTTAGTATGTTAAGGGTGTTATAACAAAATATCATAGTCTGAGTGACGTATAAACAACAGAAATGTTTTGCTCATAGTTCTGGCGGCTGGAAAGTTTGAAATCAAGGCAGCAGCAGATTCAGTTTCTAGGTGGGGGGTTTGCTTCCCAGTGCATGGATGGCCCCTCCTCTCCTCACATGGTATAAAGGGCAAACAGTTCTTTTTGGGGGACTCTTTCATAAGCTCACCAATCCCACATATGAAGGCTCTGCTCCATGACCTACGCACTTCCTAATACTATCACCTTGTAGGTGTCAGGATTTTAATATATGAATTTGGGAGGGACATGAATGTTCAGATCACAGCAATGGGCTCTAGAGTCCTTTCAAACCGGATTTAAGTATTCCGAAACCATGCATAAATTACTTAACCTATCTGAGCCTCAGTCTCACGTGAAACTTGTTTTTCTTCCAAACAGAGGTGCATCTTCATAGTCAAAGAGAGTAATTTGATGAATAAGAATTTATGATCTAGTCATGTGAGTTTAGAAAATGGTAGATTAAAAAAATGGCTCAGAGACTGAAAAACACACACTGTATATCCCCACTCAATATATACATGTCTACACTCCGTGGCAGAAATTGAAGATATGATAGTAGAAAGGATAAGTATAGATACCAGAGACTGTAAGGGAGGGGAGTGTGTGGTCTAGGATGGATGAAAGAAACAAAGGGAAGGAACATTTAACAGACAAAAGAATGTAAAGGTCTCTGTTGAAAATTATGTATATGGTAATATCCTTGATTTGATTGCCATGTATTACATGCACAGTTTGAAAAACCATTTTGTGCATTATAAAAATGCACAATGATAGAATGTAAATAATTTTTTTTGAGAGGTTTTGCTATAGGGCATGTGTGCTCACCAGAAAGACAGAGACAAAGAGATAGAAAGCAAGAAATCACCCACCAGGGGAGATGGCCACACTGCAATCCCTTCTCCTCCATTCTCCTCTTGGGATCTTGGGCACGCTTGCACATGTGCCCAGCGTGAATTTAAGCCACCGGGTCTGGGACTCGAACCACGGTCGACTACATGGGACTCCAGCAACATAGCCATTATGCCAGCTGCTGGTCCCTGTAAATAAATTTTAAAAAGGCTCATAATCTTCTTGGAATTTAGTAAAAGACTGATCTCTTTGGCAGTAAAAAAGGTAATTCTAAGAGTTCTAAGGGGTTTCTTTTGGTTTTTCCATAGAAACTCAATTTTATCTATTTATTAATTACTTATTTATCTTGACTAGTTCAAAAAATATAAGCTAGTAATTTCTGATTTGTTTCAAATTCAAACCTAAGGAATGTCTCTATGAGTTATTAATATAATGACTCTCAATTCTATTAAAGGTGGATCCAAAATTCATAAAGCAGATTGGAAAGTTCTATGATATTAAGCCTCTAGGAAATAGCCAATAAAAATGTTCTCCTATCCTCATACGTAGAAATGTGTCAGAATGTGTTTGAGACCCTCAGAAAATTTCACTCAGTCATTTGGTGTTGATGGCTAGCTCTCCCATGCTAGATACTACACTGAGCTCTAGAGATACCACAGTCCTGCCCTAGTGGCAATCTAGGAAAGTGCTCCTTAAACTCCCCTACCTCTATTCTACTTATCATTCAGGGAAGTGCAGTGTACTATTAGCATCTTCTTAATAGTCTTTGCAGTGGGGTCAGCAGGTGGCGTAGTGGTTAAGGTACTGGACTCCCACATGACCGATCATTGTTTGAGTCCCAGACCCAGCAGCTTGAAACTCATGCTGGCCACATGTGCATGTGTGCCCCAAATCTCAAGAGAATAGAGGAGAAGGAACTGCAGTGTGGATATGCTCTCCCTGGGGGTTATTTCTTGTTTCTGTCTCTCTGGTAAGCACATATGCTCTACAGCAAAAAAAAAAAAAAAAAAAAAAGGTCTCTTTTCTTTTGATGTTCTTCCTCCCCCTTTTATTTTATTTTATTTTTGTTTTTGCTATAGGGTGCATGCATTTGCTAGAGAGAGAGAGAGAGAAAGCGAGAAATCACTCTTATCCCCAGGGGGAATGGCCATACTACAATCTCTTCTCCACTCATCTCTCAGGATTTTAGGCACACATGCCCAGGGTGATTGTCAAGCTGCCAGGACTGGGACTTGAACCCTACAGTTGGCTTGAAAGATCCAGCCACCTTAACCTTCATGCCACCTGCTGGCCCATCCCCTTGACTTCTAACTCTTGGAGGACCTCAAGGTTCTCTGTAGGGGATATCCTCTGTTTTCCTGACTCTAGATATCAACTGTAAGCTAAAGATTCTCAGTTGTAGATCTTTAATTTAGACAGCTCTCTGAACTGCAGTCTCACGTGTCTGTCTCCTTAGCATCTCCCTTTGAATGTCTAAGAAACTTCTCAATATTAACGTACTTAATTGGAATTATCGGTCCTGCTCTCCAAGTGAGTTCATCCCCCAGCCCTTTTGGACATTCTTTTCTCTAAGTTGCTAAAAAAAAAAAAAAAAAAAAAAAAAAGCCTAGAAGTCATCCTTGATTCCACTCTCTTTCTGATCCCCTACAATGAAACCATTACTGAGTCTCCCATTTTGCCCCAAAATACCTCACAGATCAACCCACTTCTCCATTTCTATTGTCCCCCTCTAGTTCAAACCACTGTCATTTCTCGCCCAGCCTACAGTAGTCCCTTAAGGTGTCCATTTCTCTAATCCCCTCTCACCCTTTATAAGTCGTTTTCACATCACTTAAAACGCCACCATTATGCACGCCACATAACCACCATTTAAAGCCCCTTAATGAGACCCCATTGCTGTCAGACTAAAATTCAAAGTCCTTACCACACACGACCTCTCAGCCACTGCACGCTGCCATTTCTCCCCATATTGCCACCATCACTTGCTCTACTTTTTTGCCAAGTTCATTCTATTTTATTTACACTGGCCTTCAGACATCTTCCTTGAATGACATGTGCCCTTTGCTTCCTGGGGGACTTTGCATTTTGCATGTCCTGTGCTAGATTCCTCTTCTCCTGCTTTTCTTAGGGTGACTTATTTATGTCCTTCAAATTCTGGGTCAAATATTACTTCCTCAGAAAGCCCCTCTTTGACCACCCACCTGACCTAAGTGGTTTTTTTCCTTTATCTTATATAATGTCATGGTATGATCTATGCCTCCTTTTGTCTTCAGTTATCACTCATTTGTCATCTATTTCTTTACTAGAATATAAGTCACATGACAGCAGGAGCATTGACCATATTGCTTACCACTATTTACTTGGACTTAGTTGATACTCAATAAATGTCTATTGAAATAAAGAAGGGAGGGAAAAAAATAAGTATGAGCTAGATGGGGGTGGGAAGGGTTTTAAAAAGTGCATGGAAAAGATGTGTTTATGAAAAAACTGTTTGTATTTCTAAATTATTTTGCACCAAAATAAACTCATACTTTAATACCACTCTCCATGAACTTTTTGATGTCCCCTCGTAGAATGTTTCTATATTCTCATGGCAGGCAGAATAATGGCCCATCAAAAATGTCCTAATTTTTCCCTAAGGTCCCTAATCCCCAGTGCCCATGAATATCTTACCTTACATGGCTAGAAGACTTTGGAGATGTGATTAAAATGAAAGACCTTGAGAGGTGGAGGGTGGATTTTTGGTGGGCCCAATGGATGTAAGTCCTCAAAAGCGTAAAGGAAAGATAGAAGAATCAGCCAGAGAGGTATGCTGTGAGAAGGACACAGTCTAAGGTGGAGGAACCATAAACCAACAAGTGTGGTAGCTTCTAAAAGCTGGAGATGGATCTCAGTTTACAGAGAACAGAAATATATTTCTTGTGGGTGTAAGTTAAAAATGTTTGAGAAGAACAGATCTAAGCCAAAATCTCCAAGTTTTTTTGCTCTCTAAATAAAAAAAAAATCAAGTTCATGGCATACAATGGCTCTGTGAGCTAGATCCGGCCCACAGCACCGGATACATTCTCCACCACTCCGCTGACATTCTACTAGCTAGTGGCACAGGGCCGCTCAGTTACCCAGCACATCCCAGGCCAGTTTATGGTCCTTGGGCATTTTGGTCATGCTATTTACTTTTCCTTTCCACTATTAGCCCGGCTGAGTTTTACTCATCTATCCAAACTCAGCTCAGAGATGTTTTATTCATTCATTCATTCCACAATAGAATAGTAAGCAGCTGCTCTGTGCCAGACACTTAGATACAGTAGAGAAAGAGACTGTATCTTTCTCTGTCATGGTTTTCAGCTGTCATGGTAACATTTTGGTGTGGGGGAGACAGAATACAAAGAAATAAATAACAAACAAATATGTTTAGATAATGGCAAAGGAAGGCTATAAAAGAGGAGAGCCACCCTGAGGAAGAGAGACGCTCATCCATGTATGTGATTCTAGGAAGTGACCCTTGAGCCGAGATTAGTTCCAGCTAAGTGAGATGGAGGAAGAGTTTTCTTGACAGAGAATGTTGATTCAAGTTTGGAAGTGCCCAGTATACAGAAAGGTCTCAGCATGGGAACTAAAAACCTTCTAACGTAGGTCTATTTGTTACTGCTGCACCACTACATGGCCTTTGTGCATTTTTTTAAAAGCGGAAGATGACATTCCAGTGTGAAAGATACCCTCCTTACACTAGAAGGAAAGAAAAACATCATTATCTTCAAGGATGAGAAGTTGAGACCAAGAGACTACCATACAGACCTTATTAAAATAACTCTTAATTTAGTCACATTTTCACA